AAACTTAGGGCAACGAACCCCGCAATTTTCCAGAAAAGCAGCAGGCATAGCATGCCACTGGGGACTACCCCAAGCAGGAGCCCACATGTGCATTCACGACTCCCGTCCGCAGCAAGTAGCTAGGCAGCGACGCAATGAAACGTTTCTTCTGCCACTGTAATCTGGCCAAGAATGCATCCCTAGAGTAAGACAAGGGCGGCCCTCCCACCCCAGATGCCTGTCGATTTTGTGTTCGTCTAGAGCTGCTTGGAGAGTCAAAGCCCGTACTGTCTTCCTTCTTGTACAAAACCTTGAAAATAGCCTACTTCTAGAATATCAAGTCCTCTTTGGAACGTCTGGGCAAGTGCGCTATCTTTCCTACTCATCAATTCACGCCATTTGTTACGTGGCCACGCACTGCAGGGTTCTGACCCCTTTGAGCTCCTTAATTGGCACTCATGGGGGAAGCAGTGCATTATGAGTGGTCCCCTAGCCCGACAAATAATCGGGACTCAGGTTTAGTCCCTCAGGCTACTCGGCCTATTTCAGGGTCTGGCTTGCCAGTTATCGGGTATTCCACAGCACTAAAGCTGCTAGTTTACTCCGCCGTCGTGCTGTTTGTGGCTCTCTGCGCTCGGCGTCAATTACAGCACTTGTAGGAACATGGTTGCAGAACTGGAGATTCAGACTTGGGTGGTGATATCTCATCCCGCTCGCAAGTAGGTGTAGGAAATCTGCACTCCAAATGTATCGGACCCAACAGATTCGTGCCGCGTGTAGTTTCTGTCTCACCCCTGTGCTCCACTCCCAGCGTGCGCTTTTGGCGCGTCACTCAGGACTCCGATGAAAACAGTCCATCTGGAGACCTGAAGTTTGATGACCGTCAAACATCACCAGACGCCCACGACGAGTCTCCTTCACAATCAGACGCAGCAAGCACTGAAGCACCACGAACAGGAGCGGCAGAGAAAGGCGTCAGCATCAGCTGTGAAGACGAAGCATCTGGAGATACCGCGGCAGCAGCTCCAGAAGCAGCAGCAGATGAAGAGGATGAAGACTCCGACAGCAACTGCGACCATCGTGTTTATGACATTGTACGTAGTGATCAAGAGGGTACCGTGACCAATGCCGAGGCCACAAGCGCCGAGCCGCATGATGCTCATGCAGCTGCTGGAGAATTAGCTGAGAAACATAAAGTGGAAAGGCAAGGGCGTTCGAGGTGGATGGGGCCGCTGGCTGGCCTCTTGGAAACTGCCGGCAAGAAAATAACTAGCGTCGCAGGAAAATCTGATGTGGCAGCAAACCCAAGAGTAGGAGGACTAGCAGGTGAGGCTGCTGCCAGCAGCTCAAAGGCATCTCAACCTGAGGAAAGCAGGCATTATAGGTCGAATTTGGCCTTCTGGGATTCGAATTCTCCCCATTATAAAGATTTGGGAAAACCTTATGACTTTCCGAGTCTCAAGGCAGACGTAGGTCCATAACAAAGCAACAGCAACAAAACCACCAGCATGGTTCCTATGCATGCCCCCCTTCATGGGATTCAATGAGCGTTGTTTAAGTTATCGTTGGTTAACGCTGCTCGAGCAGCCCCCTAGACGCGGTGCGCGCCCTGTGCCTTGCCCATTTCAGAACTATATTGAGATACGATAAGAGCTACTGAAGCTTGAGGGATCCATGG